GAAAGAGTTTAAATCAGGTTATTGAGCTGAGTTAGTCTACCCTTTAAGAATCCCTGATTTACTTTTCTCTGATAATATTTTTCAATAAACTTTCCATTATGTAATTTTTTTCTAAGTCAATTTACTCATTAGGAATGGGTTCCCTTTACAAATGACCCTGTCCGAATCTTAGAGTACAGATCTTTCCTACTATAAATTAATATAATTAATCTTGTTTTTCAGGGAATCTTATTTATATTACATATTGGTAGCTTAATCTGTTTTCAAAGAACTGATCAGGTTTTGATAAGATAATACATCTCGTAGACCAGCAGAGCTGAGACACTAAACTCCTATTTGTTACTCTAATAATCATCTTGGGACCTCGCATCACGAATTATAAAAATAACTCACAAAGGTAAAATTTTAGCACAGAAAGTTCTGTCTTTGTGCCATAGAAGTGATACAGGACTTTTCATTAAATAAGATTAACTCAAAGCTATATACCATCTCTCTTCAATGGGCTGTCAGTAGTTAAAATGTTCTCTGAATGTATTATGACATTTCACGATTTCAAAACGATCACATGGTAGAACCAGGCAGAAAGGTCTAAAGCAGGTGTGACAGTGGCAAATTCATGGTATGATTTGCATTATCATTATAGAAGGGCCATATATTATTTTATTCCATTTGTAATTAACCAAATTAAGATAAACTTCTTTCAGTTTTACTTAGCTTTGTATATTCTCTATTGACAATAATTAGAGACTGAGTTTTTGTATAAGATTTGACCCAGTTTAGCTTATCTTAACCTTTCTATTCTATCCTAAAATACTAGAAGAATATTTTTCTTCCTTATGTTAAATACAGCAACTTTTCATAGATAGAAATATTAATATGCTGACTTATTAAAATAAATAATTTAATAATATTAATAAAATTCTAAATAATTTTTCAATTCCTTTCTAAAATTCCTAATTTGCCAATCCATTACTGGTCTACATTGCTTAGAAATTATTATAAAGTGTTGCCTTAATCTTTATTAAAGTTTTTTAAAAATCTATATTCTTTCTTTATAAATTGATTTAGTTACATTATCACGTTCTAAAAACTATTAGAATTGTATGTATTAAAGGAAATATGTATAGGTTTGATAGTAACTTTTGCCTCACCAGTTTTCCTTTATTTATTTAGGGGAGGGTGGCAAGGAAAAACAGTAATGCATTACCTGTAGCAATGTGATTATAAAGTTAGCTATTATTTAGATATATTTTACTTTTTCTTTCTGGAACTAGGAAGAAGAGGGGCATTATATACCATAGTATTTTTCATTTAGAGCAGATTATAAGAGAAATTATTTAAAGCTTCATTGCTGTTTTTTATTAGGGATGAAATTAGTCTTAGCTATTTTCATATTCTAAATGACCATGTGATCAATCAGATTTGTCAAGAACCACGTTTGTTTTCTCATTGGCCATTTCTGTGAACATTTCCCAATATTAGCTTGTTAATTTAATAGTCCGATGTTAAATGCTGGAATTGAGGTGTTCACGCATCAGAGTCTGGTCCTCCCTTTTACTTTTGTCTACTCCTTTTATCCCTCGACCCTGGACTGTCTTTCAAACCCAATGAAGATGTTGCTTGATGGGACAGTCCTGTTTTATATTTACATTTATATAAGATAGACATGTTTTGGCATGTACAACAAAAAATGATGGGATACGAAATGTAGAGCATGCAATTATTCGAATTAACTACCTTTACTACTCAAAGGAAAACTATTTTTAGCTCCATTAAAACAGATGAATCAGCATTCATTTCTTAAAGCTATCTAAGAATTAAGTATCACAATCACTGCCTTTAGGCATTTGGTCATTCTGGTTCTCTAGAAATTTTTACACATTCCCATTGTTTCCCATTGTTTGGACTTCTGCAGTGATTAGAACATCCTTTTCAGAAAACTACTTTATATAGTACAGCAGTGCTTCTCAAACTTTAATGTATGTTTGATATCATATGGAGAATCTTGTTAACTTGCAAATTTGATTTGGTAGGTCTGGGGAAAAATGAGAAATTCTGCACTTTTAACAAGTTCACAGGTGATACTGATGCTGGTCTGTATCTAGTAAGAATTTACTTCATTTTTGGTCAAGGCTTAGACCCTTCCACATTTCTGACTTTTTATGTGTCCAAAGACCAATAAATTGTTCTGCTTCTTAATTTCCCTTCTCTCACATGATACAAGGGAATAATCCTGTCATCTCCCTTTATCCTTTTTAGTTAAGGAACTTCTTACTTCTCTATATCTTAATAGAAATTTCAAGCAGCATGATATTATATATTTGTTATTTATTTGCTACATTTGTTATTTATTACATATTTGATGTATATATTATTTATTGCAACAGCTCCAAGAAGAACAGTAAATTGTTTCCATACCAGTGGGACCCTCACTATTTCATACTCATAGAATGTATCTCTATTAATTCAATGTGAATGTTTTTCCATACAAATAGAATTCTGAAATTTTAATAATTACATGATTTATTAATATTATTTGTCTTTTATATACATGTGCATCAGTTTTGTACTCAAATTTGTCTTCTTTTATTTCAAGGGTGTGATTACTTTAGAGTCCCTTGGTAAAAGGGGTTATCGAGTACCTCCTTCAGGAACAATACAAGTGGTATGTGTTTTATAGCCTACAATTGCAATAATCATTCTCTCACATACATATAGAACTTAGCCCTTTCTCCTGCTACTGCTGCTGCAACAACTTTGGTAAGTAACAGTGGGTCTGCAGCTTTGTTTGGAGTTTCCCTGCTCTGTCCCAGGAATGACCATTTGGGGACCTCCATAAAGGAAAGCATTAATAAGCTAATCAAGGTGAATGCTTTAGAAAAATAGTATATAACAGTCGATATCACTTAAAGAGAGCTATTTACAATATAATTAGAACCTAGCATTAGCAGTGCCTTCTATTTAAAATAGTAAGCCAGATTGAGATCAACCTATTTAAAAGGAGACCTCAAGTATTAATATTGCTTTGGCAAGAAACTTGGGAAACAAAATTATATTATGCCTAGTGCAATAATTCCTAAATTGATCTAACGAGATGGTGACACAAAGCAAAAATGTCGTCTGACAGATGTCAGGGCAGAGAAGTCATCTTTCCTTTTGGTCTAGGTGTTGATCCAGCTTAGGTTCAGAAGAACTCTTCTAGCCCAGAGCAGTTCTTCATCTTCCTTGGTCTAGGGTTCTCAGAAGAGTAATTTGATATCAAGACCACTTTACTAAACTGAGATCATCTCCAAGTCAGACCCAGGATAATCTGGAAAGCCCAGAAGTCTATCACAGAGTTGACTCTTGCAGACTGAAAATTGTCTAGCTGTATCTGTCAATTATACATCAACAAAGCTGACATTAAAAAAAAAAAAATTGAGTCTAGCTGAGTTTCTTGCACTCAGGATCTGTTATAACTCAAAAAGCTTTTTTGACCTTTGGCCTCAGTGTGATCAGTGCTTCACCAGACCACTTTTACTCATCACCTTTGTTCCAATACAGCAAAGGAGTCTATACATTTGCTTATTTCATATTACACAGAAATGAAACATGGTACTATGCAATATATGTGTGTATATATTACAGTATATACATAAACGTATAAATTTTACTGAAGAAGAATCACTGCATTATTAAAGTGATATTTTTATGTTGAATGGATTTCTTAAACTAAAAGAATGATAATCTGTTCTCTTGCCTCTGGCTGCGTAGCTCATGTGAAAGTTTGGGTCACTGGAAAACTATCAGTTGTCATAATAATGAAGCATAAACACAAAAGCAGCACATTCATCTCTTGTTTGAGGACTGCCAGCTTTAATGGTTAATTTTAAATACGGAATGTAGGTCTCTCATACGTCATATAGTTTAATAATGTAAAAATATGGTTTGAACTCCTGGCTTGCTAGTTGTGTGGTTGTTGAATGTATTAGCCTTAATCTTAAGACTCACTAGATTTAAAAAATTGGATCATAATATTGATATATTTCTCATTTTGATTCAGTGAGTGATGTCCAGTGCCACGGATGAGCTTCTGAAAGCATGGGCACCAAGTTACCTATTGATGTGTTGGTAATTTGGTTAAAGTCAGATCGGCAGTTTGAGATTTTGTTTATAAATCAGTATTTTAAAAAATAATATTCCTTCAATTATTAATAGCCAAGTATCAATTAAATTTAATTCAGTTTTCACTAAGGATATTTTTATATATTATGATATTGTTGATGATAAACTGTCACTTCAGTTTTTGAAATGAATCTATGAGAACATTAACTATTATTTAGCCTACTTTGTAACTAATGATAATAAACTTTATTTTCTAAACTTAGATACGATTCTGGATAGGAAAAAATCTTTTTTGAGAATATATTTTAAATTTTGTAATAACCATATGTACCTAAAAGTCTACTTTTACCAAGATTTTAATTTTTAAAGATTTTATTTAAGTCACTATTAAAATGTAAGGAAAATTAAAATTCTATTTTAAGAAATTTGCAGTTGCTACACTTTAATGAAGCTAATGTTTGAAATAAATGAACTGGAATGCTTTAATCTAGTGAGGGTATATTTTGCTTAACCTAGTGGAACCATTTCTTAAAATCTGGACTAGGAGCAATAGTTTTGTATTGTCTATTATTGACATGCAATTTGTGACTAAAGATATTTATTTGTTACAGAATTTTACATTATTGTAAAATAAAACAATGAATTGAACCATTTAAAAACTATTGAATATTATCTCATAAACTCAAATTTCATTAACTTCAGTCCCCAAAACTGAAGTATATCCACTGGGATTTATTTATTATTAAAAAATCTATTTTATTTTTGGCATAATCATTTTGAGTCAAGTCAACAAATCACCATTTTAAAAGAGTAATTTCTATATTGTTTCTTCAGACCTTATTTAATCCTAATAAGACTGTGGTGAAGATGTTTGTTGTGATATATGACTTACGAGATATGCCAGCCAATCATCAGACATTCCTACGACAACGAACTTTTTCTGTACCAGTTAAACAGGACATGAGGAGAAGTGTTAATAAAGAGAACATCCAACATTCAGAAGAACGGTTATTACGCTACCTCATACATCTGAGGTATGTTTCAAATGAATGTTAAAATATGTTATTTTAGAACAACTCTAAAATTTTTAGTTTTTTTAAAAAACTGTCACTCTAACTAGACCAGTGCCTCTTGGAATCTGCTTAACTTGAAAACTCTTGGTGATATGCCAAGATGCAGAAACACATGGCATAACTTCCTGCAGTCATTATTACTTGTTGAATTTGGGGAGTTTTCATTTATAGCTTTGTAATGTAATTTTATATCAAAACAAATGCTGATAAATCTGCGGCAGTAAAACACATTTTCTAAACCAGTGCTGTCCAGTAGAATTAAAATATGAGCCATATGTATAGTTCTGTATTTTCTAGTAGCCACATTAAAAAAGTGATGAGACAGGAAAGATTAATATATTTTATTTAACCCAGTATGTCCAAATGTTATAATTTGAATATATAATCAATATAAAAATTATGAATGAGAGATTTTACATTCTTTTGTTGTACTAAATATTTGAAATCAAGTATGTATTTTAAACTAACAGCATAACTCAATTTGAACTAGTCATATTTCAAGTGCTCAATAGCCACATGTGGCTACTAGCTACTGTATCAGACAGGGAAGTGTTTAACCTTCATTCCTTCATTTCACAAATGCTTATGTGTTAGGCATGCTTCTAAGCACTAGAAAACAGCTGTGACAAAATCTGTTCTCGTGGAGCTTATGTTCTAGTGATTCCATTAGAAATATCTTACCCTCTAACTTTTACTACCCACCCTCACAGCTCTACATTGTGAGAAACCATTTGTTTGCCCTTGAAGCCCAAGTTGTCAGCATCCTAAGGTTTTCCAACCTGAAATCCTAGTTTAGCTCTCAGGATCAATGAGCAAGTCTGTTGGTTAAGAGAGAGCTCAACAGTATTTTGTCTGTAACTCTGTTTCTAATAATTTTCTCATACCATTCATAGTAAATCCTCAATCACGTCAGTGATGGTAATTCATCTCATCTTAACTCCTTACTCCAGGGAGCCCTATTCATCAGGAGGAGGCACCTTTCATGCAGGGCCCAGGCAGAGGACTTCTTTAGTCTGTTACTGATGGTGCCACCAGCTATCTTTCAATAGATTTGCCTTATGGTGATCTGGAGTGAATAAGGATTGAGCTGTACATTTGAGTCCCATACTTGAAAAAGTCTGTTAAGTTAATTTGTTTCCCCTATAGCACTGCTTAATCGGGACTCTTGGGGTCTTCTGCCTGAAGTTCTGCAACCAAAGGTCATGATGAACCAGCATGGTGTATTTAAACTCAGCTTTACACTACCTGCCATGAGCCTCATGGGAAATGTTATACAGATTATGGGAATGAAAAATCTACCAAACAGACTTGGAAAACTTTTAAAGAAAAATGGTATAAAATAGACTATAAGAATAGCTCCCAGCCCAATCTAGAAAAAGAATTAACTCTCTGAACTTCCATTTGATATCATTCCTTTTGAAGTTTAACTACCTTAGCCATATGTGACCAACATTTAGCAAAGTAAAACTCAACTACCCCAGCTTTTATAATCTCCACATAATGATTAGATATTTTCAATACTCTAAAGAAACTTTTTTGCAAAGTATGGCATAATTCCCAAAGCTCACTATATTCTCCTTCAGACTGAGATGGTGAAAAACTGCAGAAAGAAGAGTGAGACATTGGACCTAGAGGTTATTATGCTGAGTGAAATAAGTCAGACAAAGATAAATACCATGTGATTTCACTTATATGCGGAATCTAAGGAACAAAAAAGAACAAACTCATCAAAAACTGACTCACAAATATAGTGGACAATTTGGTGACAGATAGAGGGTTGCGGGGCTGGGAGAATGGGGTGAATGTTTAAAGAAGTACAAATTCGTGGTTGATAGATGGTCACAGGGATGGGGAGCACAGCATAGGGAATGCAGTTTGCATTAATGTATTGGCTAGGTGGAAAAACAGGAGAAGGGGCAATTAGGGGGATCGTTTTATAAACTATATAAATGTCTAACCAATGTATTGTACACTTGAAACTATAAAAGAAAAAAAGAGTGAAACAGAGGTCTGTTTTAATATACACAACTGACAGCCAGATTTTTCAGCTAATTTAGGAATAAAATCTACAAACCCAGAGAGTACTTCCACTATGCAAAGGGAAAACCAGAGAAATTACCACTAATGTCTACGTTTGACTAAATGCCAGATAAGTTTATACAATTAAAGATTACAGCCCCCGTATTATGTTATAGATATTAGCAGGGGATAGAAACTGTTCCATATTCAGTTTTGATAACCATTTTCATTTCACCGCTAACTCTTCTCCTGATTTTTAATGATAATTTGGCTTTATTTAGTGAGCCACTATGCTGATAGCAGCCCTTTCTCATCCAGTGATTGTCCTCAAAACTTGATTATTTTCTGTGGTGACTTTTCAAGTGTGGAATCAATTTTAATGTACTCAAAATTGTGGGAGGGCAAGTTTTGTGAAATGTATCAGTCTATGTGGCTAGAAGATGCTAGGCTTGCAAAGCCTAAATGTAGTATAACTGGCTGTTATGAACTGAAACTTGATACTGTAGGTGAGGAAAGGTATATGTGCTCTGGTGTTAGGGATGAAAAGTAGAATTGTATGTGAAACCCAGATTTACAGAAGGAAGCATCTCTGGCATTGAGGGAGAAGGAAGTATGAAGTGTTCAGGAAATAGTAAGGGAGAGGTGCTTAAATAGTATCACATGCTTTGACAATATAAGACTTAAATATCTTGTTAAAAATTACTATTAATATTGTGGCAAGACTAATTTTTCCTACTTTTAAAATTTAATTATTCAGGGTTTGTGTGTGTGTGTGTGTGTGTGTGTGTGTGTGTGTTTTAAAGACTCATTACTTGAAATGATGCCTCTTTTTGTTTGTTTGTTTGTTCAGGTTCCAGAGTTCTAAATCTGGAAAGATCTACCTCCATAGAGATGTACGACTCCTGTTCTCTAGAAAGTCAATGGAAGTTGATAGTGGTGCTGCATACGAACTCAAATCTTACACTGAATCACCAACAAACCCTCAGTTTTCACCAAGATGTTGATAAGGAGTGACATTTTAAAGTATTCGCTGATTACCCCAGTTTGAAAGTAAAAATTAGCGTAGAACAGAGTGTACCAAATTAACAACCAGGAGAGTGGATCCTCTCCTGTTATCCTGGACCAGTTTTTATTAAAGGATTCCTGGAATGAGATCCACATATTCCAAGTAGACTGGAAACACTCATGTCCTAAGCCTTTTTGTACTGTTAAAACCACTTCGTTGGACATGTTGCAATAGCGGAACCCCCGGTTAGATTAGTGTTTACACATTTTATTTCTCAGTTATTTAATATTTAATGTTTTCCTTAATACTCAAGTGATGTTTGTCTCTAGTGTTCTAATGTAGCACAAATCCTATGTAAAATCATACTATGTATTTTTGACATTAATGTTGAAATCTGAAATATATGCACAAGTCTTTAATTTCGTGTGATGTGTTTTAAGTACTATTCATTTAAGTTATTGAAAAATGAGAATGAAATGTTAAGCTTCTTTAAGATTAACGCACTATGCAAGCATGTGTACTTTTTATATCTCTCAAGTTTAGTTTTTACAACACCCCTTCCAATTTGCTGTCTCACATAGTAGTCCTTTAACATTCTGTATTAGCGGTGCAGTGCAGACTAAGCTGCTTCCCATTCCCTTTGCAAGTTCAGATCATCATGCCCATTCATATTCCTTCTAGAATCCCTTATCCCCCAAACTGTTCTATTTTTCCTTAATCACTACTACAGAAGCTTTACATTAAATTGCTGTCCCATGCTAGATAACTTTTACAAATTGTTAAAGAATATGTACTTTGAAAACAAATTAGTATTTATATTGTAAATATATGCAAAAAAAAAAGAAACGTGTATTTGGCTTTTATTCTTAGATGAAACATTTACGTGATTGAGTAAATTTCTGGTAGCCATCAGACAGTTTCCACTCTAGTTTTACAACTGACAAGAAAAGAGGGAGAGATGTCTTGAGCCTGTCCCAGTTCACTTTCTTATTCTGAGTCACAATGGAAGGCGTTTGGCAACTGGGAAAACCACTGAGCAAAGGAACTTGCCTGAGTGCATCAAAAGCCTTCCCTTCATCCCTCTTAGAAAGAAGAGTGGTTTTAGATGTTTGTGCAGGGACAGTAGGCAACAGCAGATCAGATAACATGGCACAAATACTGGGGATGCTGGGACAAAGCTACAAATGTAGGTTAGAAAATTCATACCACTCAAGTAGGCCAGACCCAGGAGACCTGGGAGTCTAGAACCAGGTGAGCAGTCTGGAATTTGGGAGACAGGAGGGTATTTGGGGGGCCTGGCTAATGTATAGACTATTCAAGAGAATCTAGAAAGATGATGAGTGTGGGGTTGCAGACTGTGTGGTGGCCAGCAAGAAGCCTCTTATAAATTTATTTTTAAATTCTTGCTAAAAGAGAAAAGGCTATTTATATTTTATACAACTAAAGAGTTTTCAGTGGCACAAATTTATAAAGATTTGTTCTCAGTCTTCAGGTTATGTAAAAACAACATGGAATTTTGGGACCCAAAGGGTTTGGATTGTAGTTCTAGCTGTAATGGTATCTGATGGGAATGACTCCAAAAATCCTCTGACCTTTCTGGGTCTGCGTGATTGAGAAAATGGGGTGAGAATATTGTTAATGTGCCTTGTCTTCTTAAATTCTGTCATTTAATTCTTGGGATAAGTATTTCAATACATGTATCTAGACTTCTTATACATTTGACAAAAGTCAATATTGATAATTTTATATAAAACTTGAAAAACACCAAAGAGTTAAAACACCAAAGGACTTTTTAAAATTTCTTTTAAAAAGTTATTGCTTCTTTGACCTCTCCAGTAATCTAAAAATTAGTAATGTATATTGTATGCAGGTATCTTTTTATGTGGCTACAGCACTGTAATCTTTCCAGAATTCTTTCTAGTACATGGTTTTCCACCTTCTCGGGCACTTTTTAGAAATTTTCAAGAAGATGACTGAAGCATCTTGGTGTATCCTGTGCTCTTCCTGGAAAGTTTGTGCAAGGAAAACATGTGCTGGCATTTGTCCCTCCACTTCTTAGCACATTTTTGCCCATGTTGTTTTTCCCAGTGAGGTATGGTCACCAGGCACCTGTTTGCTCTCACTTGCCTTGGCACTATATCATAATGGTTCTTTTTTCCTCTCTTCTTTTGTCACAGGCTGAAACTTTACCACACTTCCTACATCAATCCTCTTTGTATTCACAGATTATGTCACTAGATTAAGTGTTGCCATGCAGGTAAAGATAACAGCAGACAATTAACAGTGCTACTACCTATGGTAGATTGAATAGAGATTTCCTCACTTACTACAGGTTCACTTGGCAGTTTTACAGACTAACAAAATGAGTCATAACTGATAACTATTAAAAAGGAACTCTAAGTTACAACCTGCAGAAAGTCTTTGGAAATTTTCCTATCAAATGAGAATGAAAAAAATAAGTTATGAAATGGGGACTGGCTGGAAGGCACCCAATAGAAGTTTCTCTCCTCTTGCCATTTTCCCCACCAGCTATCTGTCATTCTCAGAGGGTAAAAGAAAAGAAAAAAAATTCTCCTTCAAAAACTTCATCTTGGGATCCCCACTCTTCCCTAATTTGTTTTGTGAATGCAAGTTATCCTTTTTTAATTTAAAAAATTTATGCGACACGTTTGTAATAAAAGAAGTTTTGACACTACGTAATATAAAATTGAAAGTCCCTCTGCCTGCCCTTCTAGCTATCACTTTACAGAGATAGTCACTGTTAAAATTTTGGTATGGTGCTCCATATGGTCTACTAGACTCAGGAACATAGTATCAGTCCAGAAGGGAAGTGGGCTTTTCATCATGGTAGGAATTCACTCTCAATACCTAGTGGTATCAACCCATTCTACTCCATCATGGATTGCCTGTGAGAGATACATGTATTAAACTTGGATACTGTGGGAGGAGGAAGAGAATATGAATGCCTACTATGTTCCAGACACTGGAAGCAATTTAAATTATTTAATATTTAAAGCCTACTGCAGAGACAGTATGGATATATTCTAAAGTAAAAAAAAAAAAAAAGGCTTGAAGAGCTTGCCCAAGGTCACACAATAAGTAGAAGATTCAGGAATCAAATCTGAGTTAAAGTGTGTGATTTTCTCATTCTACTGCACGGCATTTTGCCTCTTTTCTCATTGTTTTTTTTCCTACTAGTTATTGTGGCCAGGCATTAAAATATACTTTTCATCAATATTCTTGGCAATAAAGTTTATAACTTGCTGTGCGATAAGTAAGCTAGGTAATAAATGACTATTCATCATTAGGGGGAAAAAAGAAGACTTTAGGAAGGAATATCCTAAAGCAACTCAGAGGTCTTTCAACTTAGTACACTGTCAGGAGACATGCAAATAATAATTGACGGAAATTTTAGAAACACGTGGCAAATATTTTATGAGATTTTTATATTTAAAGTTTTAAGTCTCTTCCAGCCCCCACTGTTCATTGTTCCTTTTAATATATTCAATGTTTTTCTGTTCCAACCTTTCCGATTCACATAAAGTTCTCTCATCTCACTACATCCTTAGAGAAGTGGTACCCTCCTCAGGGTGTTTGGTACTTCATATCTCACTTGTTTTCCCTGAATTGATCTTCTTATCTGTTCCTTTCATGAAAAATGTATTCTGTTCTTGATATTAGCTACAATATTAGCATGATGCAGGTGGACTTCTCTCAGATGTTTGAGAAATAGATGAGGTGGGACAATATCTCATCTACTTTACTTACTCTTACAAACTCTTGAGCTAGAGTATCTACACCTCAAAAAGTGCCCTAATCTTTTTTTAAGCTTTTATACACCAACCAAGTTCTAAGCCAGAAAAATCTTTAGTGCATGTGTGCATCAGAATCACCAGGGGGAGCTCTAGTTAAACATCAATTCTTGGACCTTACTCCAGGCCTAATGAGACTCTTGTTACAGTTTCTCTGTAATTCTAATCCCGGTGGCTAACTTAGTTAATTAAATTTAAATAAACTTTAAAATCCAGTTCCTCAGTTGCATTATTACATTTCAAATGCTCAATAATCATATATAACTAGTGACTACTATATTAGATAGTACAGATACACCATAGTCTATCATCACAGAAAGTTCTGTTGGAAAGCACTGATCTAGAATATATAGACGGCAGTTGAAGGAATGAGGGTAGAAGTGATCTTCGGGAGAGTATAAAACTAGAAGAGAAGGGGAGCCAAGGACAGAATTGTTAGAATTCTCCCATTAAGAGGCAGGTAAAGGCTCAACAAAGAAGATTAAGAAAGAAGAGCCAGAGAAATAGGAGAGAATACAAGAGTGGTATCCTAGAGGTCAAGAGAAGAAAGTTTTAAAAACAGGGTATTGGCAATCAGTGTTCAATATTAAACATTAAGGTTTATGGTTGACGATGCAGAGCGGTATCACTTGAAGAAAAATGGCTTCCTAGACAGGTCCCCCCAATGGGGCATTGGCCTTTGTAAATTCTTCATCAACCAAAGTTAGCCTCCCAGAAATTCACCCTTGTCCTCATGCAAGTGTCATTATCTTTCAGAAACAGATTCTCTTTAGTCAAGGCCATGCATACTGATTTTCTATATATGTGTGTCTATCAGATCTTAACCCAAGCTCACAAATACATTGATATAAGATATATACCAGATGCCACTTTATTATTAAAAATGAAACTGTTAGAAGCTCCAGTTAGTCTAAATAGTGCATTCTCCTTTCTCCCTGTAATTCTGCAAAAAAGGCAGGCAAATTTTTAGTAGTTTACTTTGTGAGTATGGAATGAGAACAAATATTTAGTTGATCTTACAAAGTTTCTCAACTGGCCCAACTTAAGGCACTCTCAAGGGACATTCTTGTCAAATAGTTGGCCTCTTGAATCTTTGAATTTTAAATACTTCCTCACCATACAGACCTCTTCTTTTCTCCAAAAGGAGTGCAGTATACAATTCTTTCTGTCTGAGAATCTACCCAAGACACCCTAGTAGAGTTTTGGTGGTTTCCAAATTCCCACAGAACTGCATTCATTAGCTGTTTCTTTTCACTAGTTCAACTCTTAGAGGGCAACCTTATTTCCTGGTTTCTGGGAGACACTTCATTTGAATCACCAAGAATTGCCAGTAGCCATTCAGAAGGTAAGCAGAGTGAGGATTAAACATAATGTCAAAGAATTTGGCAATTAAGAAAACCATTGGACTAATGCAGCTTCCAGTCAAAATGGTAAAGTAGGTAAATGCTATGCTTGCCTCCTCTCACAATCACATCAAAATTACAACTAAACTACAGAACAACCATCATTGGGAGTTGCCTGAAGTCTAGCTGAACAGAAGTCCTACAACTGGGGAACACAGAAGGGGCCACTTTGAGACTGTTTCTATTGTATGTATTCAGTTTAATAATCTGAATACATACAGGTAAAGAAAAATACATGAAGGTAAAGAAAAATAGAGAAAAATAGAGAAAGCTATGTAATGGTGAATATAAGATGCCATACTATGGGGCGTGGTTATCTTACGGGTCATGTAAGATCTACTAAAATAGTTTTTTAAAGGGAAGTACAAGTTCTAATTTGCATGTTATATAGATCATTCTGGTGGCTGTTTGGAGGGAGATTTGAGGAGGTCAAGAATGGTCACAAGGTGATTGTAATAGCTATAGTAAAGATGATAAGGGATGGAGAGAAGAGGAAGCTTTAGAACACTATACACCACAAGCTATTATAGTAGGACACCATTGCTTGATTAGATATAAAGAGGGAAAGAACGTGGTCTAAATGACTATCAGGTTTTATGATTTGGCATCTGGGAAGCCAGTAACTATTAATGAAATAGTGTGTACAAAAGGAACAAATCTTGAAAGGACAATGATTGTTGTTTGGACATTTTTCTGAAAGCTGACGTAATGTGGTGCAGAGTGCATTATTCATGGAGTTATATGGAATAGATATGCCACTTACTAGCTTCATGATCAAGATAATTTAGTTCTCTTATTTGCTCCTGTTTTCGCATTTAAAAAAGACAATAGATACCTCACAGAACTGTTATATGTAATTAAATAAAATATGTGCCTAGCACAGTGACAAATAATAATTTTTAAAAAGGGCAGTCATTGAAGGAGTTTGGCACCAGCAGTTTCAATAAAGTTGTGGGAGTGGAACTCCAGGAGTAGACAAACGAATGTAAGCTTCATTCCTTTGTCATATATTTATTGAATACCTAGGAAATGCTGGGCTCTGGGAGTGAAATATAAGCAAACATGGACGAGGTCCCTGCCCAGATGGCACTTATCAGAGCAGAAAAGGGGACATTAATAATCACAACGATCACTGTCTAATGATACACTATTAAAGGGGATTATTAAAAGGGACGTTAATAATCACAATGATCACTGTCTAATGTCTAGTATGTGTTGTATACAGAGATGTGATAGCATTTAAGAGGTGGATTTGACTCAGTGTAGAGGCTCAGAACGTGCTTTCCTGAGGCAATGAGCAGGACTGGGGATGTGAAAGATGAACAGGGTTAGGTAGGTGAAGCAGAGGGGGAGAGACTTGTGAAGGGAAGCAGCACAGAACTTTGAAGAGCCCAAAAGAGAATCTGTGCGGCTGCACAACGGAGGGCAACGAGGAGAATGGGACTAAGTGAGTCTGAGGAGGTGGAAATAGTAAAGCACCTGGAGCATAAAGGTTCAGATAAGGCCGGAAAAGGCGGGGAGATGCGGCTCCACTTACAAACTACAAGTCCCAGAAAGCATTCGGCGGACGGATGTGAGGTGAGGCGCGAGCCGCGACCTTTGAAGGAAGAAAGGAAGTGCTTGGGCGTCGCAGAGCCGGAGAAGCTGGATAAGGTAGGCAGGGGCGCGGCGTGCGGCGGCGCGGGAAGGGCGGCGGGCCGGAGTCGCGGAGCGACGCGGGGCTCCGTGTCGTCATAAGGCGGCGGCCATTTTCGGAGGCGGCCCGGGTGGGTGCTGGGAGACCGGGGCCGGCGGGCTTGTGGCGGCTGGGCGCCCTCGGCCACCCGGTAATCTCATCTTTTCCCGGTGTCCCTTCTGCAGAGGGAGCAGCATGTCCGCGGAAGTCCCCGAGGCAGCCTCAGCGGAGGAGCAGAAGGTGAGTGTGCGCGGGGAGCCCGGGAGGCCCCGAGTCACTCCTGCCGAAGACCGGGCCTGGCGGGCGGCCTGCTCCCACTGCGGGCAGAGGGCGCGCCCGGAGCCAGCCCCGCGGCGCCTGGTGCGGCGAGTGGGCTGTGCCAGTGCGCCTCGGCTATGGAAGCGGGACGCTCCCGGATCAGCTGTCCGCAGTGACTCTGGTGATTCCCGCCGGCGTGGTGGGAATTTGAACATTCGCCGCGTGTTTTCTGAAACGTGCCTTTTTTAACGCCTCGGTGTGTCGTGGTTTTTCTTAATCATATAAATATGCAGAAGAACCCAGGACTTAGTCAAGGCATGGAACGTAAGTTTTTTCGTATCTTCGCTTTGCTTAGAAAGTTTTATTTTGCCCTTGAAGAACTAATTCTCTATGACTTGTATCGTCTGCGTGCTGTTCACTCCAAAGGCGGTAGGTTTCTCATGTTTGGGCGAGCCTGGGTTGGAATTTCAGTTGCAATTCCTGTTAGCCGACTAAACGTAGTTACTTAACTTTTTAGGCTTCAATCTCCTAATCTGTATAATATGAGTAATAGTACTTGCTTTATATGGTGGTTGTGAGGCTTATGAGGTGGGTAATTTATAGTATTTAGCATAATGCGTGCTCAAAAAATGCGAGCCAGTGAGTAGGATTTGCATATAGTAATCGACTAAAAATCGAAAGGATGGAATTTAAAATTTTTTACCAATTTAGTTGACTAGGTGTTCCGTGGAAACATTGGACTATTTTGGAAACTCACTTT